CAATGAGAGATAGGAGAACACAGGTAGAACTCTATGAAATCTAGTAAAAATTACATGAATAAATAAGAAGTCCAACAGTGAGACAGATATTATAAAAGAGCACTAAACTAAAATTCTGGAGCTGAAAGATACTATAAATGAAATTTAAAAAAACAGAGAGAGTATCAATCACAGATTTTATCAAGCGGGCAAAAAATCTGTGAACTCAAAGACAAGTTATTTGACATTACTCTGTCAGATGAAAGGGGAAAAAGAATGTTAAAGGAAGCCTACATGAATTAAAAGAATAGCATTAACAAAAAAAAATAATGCATTATAAAAGTCCCAGAATGAGAAGAGAGACAGAAAGGGACAGAAAGCTTAAAGAAACAATGGGTGAAAACTTTCCAAGTCTAGGGAGAGATATGGACATCTAGCTTTCTGAAGCCCGTACAACTCTCAACATATTCAACCCAAACAGGACTTCATCATGACACATTGAAATAAAAACTTTGAAAATCGAAGACAAAGAATTTGACAGCAGCAAGAGAAAAAAATCTCATCACATCAAAGGGAAACCCCATAAGGCTATCAGGAGTTTCTTAGCAGAAACTTTTCAGGACAGAAGAGAGTTGGATAACATCTTCAACATAGGAAAGGGGGAAAAAAATAAAAACCTTACCAACTAAAACTTGGTAAAGCTGTCCTTCAGAAATGAAGAAACAATAGGAACTTCCACAGAAAAACCAAAGCTGAGGGACTTCATTACCACTAGACTTGCCTTTCATGCTGGTTTCAATAACATGTTTTTAGCAAGTGACAGGAACATATATGACAGTGAAAAAAATTCATTGGTGAAGATAAGTATAGAAGCACATTCAGAATACGGAATTGCACTAATGGTGGTGCATAAATCAGTTAATTCTAGGATCAAGGTGAAAAGACAATTTGTTACTGTATGCACGGTATCAAATATGTAAATTTGTATATATCTACATCAAAAATGTAAAATGGGTGTAGATTTTTTTGTATGTAATTGAAGTTAAATTATCAGGTTAAAATAGACCATTATCACTAGAAGATGTTTTGTGGAAGCCTCTTGGTAACCACAAAGCAAAAAATGTATAGTATATATAAGAGATAAAGGAGAAGGAATCAAAACATACACTACAAAAAATAACCATATGACAAAGAAAGACCACTCAAAAGGAAGAAAGGTACAAAGGAACTTCATAAGAGCCAGAAAACGATTAACAAAATTCACCAGTGAGGTTGTCTAGTCCTAGAATTTTGTTTCTTGAAAGGTTTTTGATTACTGATTCAACCTCCTTATAGTATGGTTGACATAAAATATCATGTTAGTTTCATAAGTACAACATAGGGATTCAATATTTATATACCTTACACTGTGAGTATCACAATAGATCTAGTAACCATCTGTCACTGTACAAAATTACGGTTTTATTGATTATATTCCTTGTGCTCTATATTACATTTCTGTGACTTGGGAGAGATACGGCCATGCTTGAATACTGATATAAAGAAACCAGCAAAGAAGATGAATTAAAAATGTAGGCGTGAGAAGGAGTAATTGATAAAGATCTCGAGTATGTGAAGGGGTGAGATCTCGGACTTGCCCACAGTAAAGGCTCTGCACCTCAGTGGTCCTAACTCCAGCTACTCCCTCCAATCCCTCTCGCCCTGAAATTTGAAATTTAAAATTCATAACTGCTGGCCAGATTCCTCTGGCCACTTAAATGAAAGTGATGTAGCTGTGGGGGTGGGACGTAGAAAGAAGCACATCTAAGAGCCCACATGGCCTCAGCCGGTTGGGAGAAAAAGTGGTTTTAGCTCCTGGCACCACCCCAATTCCCGTTCCAGTTCCTTGTGGATTGCCTCCTGGGTTCCACAAAATACCTCTTTGTGAAAATAACTCCCCAACTTCCTGTTTCTTTTACTTTCGACCAAAATTTTTGCCTACGAAATTGACAGGATTGAATTTTAACCCCAAGTCAAACACTTTCTAGGTGTGCTACTTGCAGGCTGAAGCTTCTTTTCTTTCTTCTAGCTTGTCAAATTCATTGGTGTATAATTATTCATAGTACTTTCTTATAACCCTTTGTTGGTGGTATCAGTTGTAACATCTCCTTTTTTATTTTATATTTTATTCATTTTAGTTCTTTTCCATTTTTAGAGAATATATCATTCATCACTATGAACTTCCTTCTGAGAACTGCTTTTATTGCATCTCATAAACTTTGATACCTTATATCCATTGTTTTATCTCATGGTATTTTTTAATTTCTCTTTCGATTTTTTTCTTTGACCCATTAGTTGTTGTTAAGTAGTGTGTATTCATTTTATACTACACATTGTAATTTTGCATTTGATTCACATTATTAGTTTCTCAACTAAAACCATATCTCTTTTCATTTATTTAAAGAATGTTCACATTAATGTCATGGAAGACAGTTATAATACACATCCTATCAGGACTGACATCTGTTGATTTTCTTTTCCATTAAACTTTGGTCAGATTTTCCTGGCATGTTGAGTGTCATGCAATTTTGGATTATAATACTATGACATGAGGCTCTAAGATTTTCTAGTATCCTCTGAAGAATGCTGATTTTTTGTTTGTTTTAGGATGCAATTATGCTGGTTCAGTTCTGACCACGAGTTCTGCCTCATTGATCATGTAGAGTAGTTTTAAAGCCAGTTCAAAGATGATTCTATGCCTCTTATGCCTGCTACATGCATATACCACCCAAGGTTTAGTCTGAGATTTGGGTTATTTATATTCAAGCTCAGTTCTTGAAGTTTACTATACTTCTTTGGGTCTGTTCTGTGTGTGCACAACTCACTGCAGAGCCCAGAACTTATGTCAGTTCATAGCAGAAGTAGGGAATGCTATTTTTTGTTTCTCTCTCTTTGTGATTTCTCTCATGCTCTTGACTCTTGAAAGCTGAGACATGTTTTCCTGTTTCACTGTTCATAAGGATGGTGTTAAGTCAGAGTTTTAGCTTTCTGTACTGTTGTACAACTTGTATGACTGGATTTGGTTATTGCTGAATAAAAATTAAGATGAATGAAGAATGAGGATCGGTTGAAAATGTATTTCAGAAATACAAAAGATCTTGAAGTTTGAAGAAGTTAAAGAGGTTGAGATAAAAGTAGAATAGTAAAGTATTATTGTTTCTCCAGTCACATGTAGAATATATTTAGTAAGTAGTTGGATAAGTCAAGAAAAATATTTTCAGCCATGTTTATTTTAAAAATTCAATTGTCAGACATTTTTCCAATATTATTATCTAGACACTATTTACATGCCTCTATTTGACTTGTCCATGAAAGAATTCAGGTACAAGGAATTAAAAACCAGAGGAATAACCACACTTGTCCAGTTCTCAATATTTTATTGCTTTTGGCTTCTATATAGATATGATAGGTCAACATTTTTTGTTTTCCTTGGGGCTGGTTTCAGTAATATCACCCTCATGAATCACTCATTTTATGGAAGCTGAGACACTGTGTTCCTTTGCTGTGTAATTTTTGTTTCAGTTTCTCTTACCTTTCTTATAAAAAGAACATATTCTCATACAATTATTTCTTTCCAATAAAAGCCATAATGTAATAATGAAGAACTATTCTTGAATGTTGTCCTTATCAAGTATTATTAAAGTTTAACTCAAGTACAAAGAAGCTGGATGACAAAACTGCATTGTCTCTAACTGTACTGAAGATTAACTCTTCTTTTGATCATCAAATGGAACAATACAGCCATTGTTATTGTTTTTGTGTCCATAAACGTGTAAACACCGTGAAAACCTTTGCGAAATTCAGTCTTAATTTGAATTTTCAAGAAACATTTTCAAAATAGTTTATCCTTCCTCTTTTGTTTTTTTAAGATTTTATTTATTTGTTTTTAGAGAGAAGACGGGAGGGGAAAAGATGGGGAAACATCAATGTGTGAGAGATACAGCAATCAGCTGCCTCTCGCACCCCCCGAACTGGGGACCTGGCCTGCAGCCCAGACATGTGCCCTGACTAGGAATTGCACAGGCTGGCACGCAATTCACTGAGTCACACCATCCAGGGCTAATGTCTTTTTTTTTTTTTTTTTTTTTTAAGATTTTATTTGTAGAGAGAGGGGAAGGGAGAGAGAAAGTGGAGAAGAGAAACAGTGATGTGTGAGAGATGCATCAATTGGTTGCCTCTTGCAAATCCCCAGCTAGGAACCTAGCCGGCAACCCAGGCATGTGCACTGACTTGGAATCGAACCAGAGACCTTTTGTTTTGCAGGCTGGTGCTCAGTCCAGAGTCACAACAGCCAGAGTTCAACTTTTAACATATTACAAAGTCTTCAAATGTGAAAAACTGTTGCCTTGTCAGTCCCTAGAAATCAGAAATAATAGAAATGCAGGAAAATCTTCCTTGAAATGACTTACTAGGAATATGGAGAAGGAAAAACTCTATCATTGGGAACACAGGAGAAACAATGGATAAGAAAAATGAGGAGAGGAAGAGGTACTATTTTGTAAGTTTTTTCATGTGTTACAATTTTTTTCTACTTCAGAGTCATTGACTAAGACTTCAATGTATCATGGATTATATTTCATGGCTGTTGAAACAAGACACTAAGATGTTCAAAGAACCCCACTGGGTTAAAAGAAAGCTAATGACAGTAATAACTGAATAACAGTTAAGGGCTTTAACTTTCATCAAATTCATCATTTTAATTCAAAGTTTTAAAAGTTCCCCCGACATAAAAATGTTTTCTGATCACCTGTTTTCATGGCTCTTGTTAGTCCAACTAGGTCCTTTCTGACCTGCCCTGTGAGTAAATAAATGATGTTCCAAGTAATAAATACTTGATATGGAATGCAAACTTTTAGTTTCTTTATATGATGGATAGTGGTTTTATTGTGAGTCAAATTATAAATAAAGAAATTGAAAAATGAAACTGTTCCTTTGAAAGTGGAACTAACTTTTTATTGCTTACGTGATAAGTTGTGGTCATTGGCTGTGGGCTACTCAGGATAAATAAATGCCAGAGAGGAGAGCTAGAGGAGTGGGCTGCAAGAATGGCACAGAGAGCATCTTCTCTGGAAAGTTTCTCAGAGATCAGCCAAGAATACCATATAGATAAAGATGTGGGCTTTGCTCTTCCAAATCCAGAGGTAAGAGAGGGTACTGAATTATGGCAAAAATGTTTTCTTAGTATTATTTACATGGACAAGTTAATTTCTATTGGGAAAAAAATGTGGTTTAGTGATTTCTACTGAACAAAGGGGTAAGCATGCCAAAATTGAAGGCAGGGTTTTTATAAAGGGATCTCAATTAATGATGTTAAAATTTGCTACCTAGAAATTTAGTCTTAGATGCACTACTTCTTTTCACAGATACAGAGAGTGATGAGATAAGAAAACAATAGAAGTATTCTGGTTTAATATAACTGTATTTTCTGAGAGCATTTTTGAAGAAGAAAAAAAAGAAAACAGTAATAACTGATCTGTGAGTCAAAGGAATTCCCTGTCTTGACTGGTATACCCTAAACTATACAAAGTATATGTTTGTGCTTTGATTAAGTTTTTGAGATGGCACATCTAGCAAGTGTGTTGTAGTAATATTGCTTGTTGTTATTAAGCATCAGATTCAAGGGAGTCAAAGCTACATTTTTTATTCTTTTTACAAGTTTTGTCTACAAAGTTAAATGCAGGTACTGTTTGCCTTAACAACTACATTTCCCTACTTTATCCTGTAAATAATGCCATTAAAATTTAGTATCACCAATATTTTAATTATCAAACATTTAGATAACATTTTTAAGCAAATTACAAATACTTTTCCATCTTCACAGCTGCCCTTAAAAGTATGTATGTTACTAGCCTGGTTTTTCCGGTAAGAAATGTAAGCTGGGAAGAGTTGAAGGGGCTCTCCAAGTCACACAGCTAGCAGTAGCAGAGACAGGGTCCGAATCCTCATCAGCCCGGCCCCACAGTCCAGGATCTCAGAATGTCATACTATGCTGACATAGAAAGAGAGATCACTGGGCAGGCTCCCTCTCCCCAGCCCTCCTCTTGGGTTTAACAAGGGAGAAAGATTCTGGGAGACTATTTCTAGGAAAAGTGGGGACAATAATGTATAACAATCTATCTCTATTTATTTGTGACTCCAACAGAGTCCACACTGTAGAAAATACCTTTAAATGCAGCAAATATATATTTTTTTTAATTAATTTATTTACTTTTTAAATACATTTGTCTCTGAGCAAATATATTTTTTAGCCAGAGATGCCAATCTAACTGTACTTAGAAATAACATTTGGTGTTTCTCTCTCACATCGATGTCTCTCTGTCTCTCTCTTTCTCTCCCTTCCTTTCTCTCTAAATCAAGGAACATGCCATCAGGCGAACATGAAGGAAAGAAAGAAAAGGAAGGAAGGAAGGAAGGAACAGGGAGAAAGAAAGGGAGAGAGAAAGAGAGAAAGAGAAGGGAAAGAAAAAAAAATCCTGTGAATACCTTGTAATATTGGCAAATCTAAAGTGAAATCTTCCGATTCACGTTTTTCTTCAAATTATTAAGTTAATTTAAGGTTATGAAGTATAGGTTTTAATTTTACTGCTAAAAATACCTAGTTTGCTTTGTATTTGCTCCCTCTCCATACGAGCATGCACGATTACCAGGACTGGCTTGTTTGAAGGATGTACTTATCAACAACACAATTAAAAAAATTATACAAATTAAAATTTTTTTCAGAAACTACAAAATCCATATTTAGTTTTTTCCCCCCTCAAGAGTCAGTTATCTTAAAAAATAAAACAATCACTGTAACTATGGAGACCTCTAGAACAAATTCCAAAGATTAAAGCCAAACCCTCAAAAAAGGCCAACAGACAATAGCGCAGGGAAAGCCAGGGGAGGGAGCGCAGGGGGCTGGGTGGAAGCTGGCAAAAACACCAAGAAATAAACCGTATCTGTAGTAGTGTTGACAATAAAAAAAATGATAAAATAAAAAACCCCTTCCTGAGCTACTTGAAAAACAGTGCTGCTCTTTGAACTGTTTAAGGAGTTAGATTCAGTGTTGTGAAACACACACACAGATTAAGGCTTATGTTATGGTCTTCCCTGAAGATCTTTCCTGCAAATTATAAAGAAAAAATTCATTTCATCTCTTATAATCTATCAGCGTCCTAGTTCAAAGGAAAATAGTATGTCTTCTAATTCCATATAGACACAAAATACATTCTCTAATCTAGCAGAAGTTGAATGGTTCTCTTGCTGTTCTTTGTTAATTTAGATTGTACCATTTACACATCCTCTGAACCAGAATTATACTATTGATTGAATTTTACATTTGCTGAAATTTCTGTCAAATAGGGCACTAATCATGATACATAACAAAAAATGAATTTCTGTGACTTGAGGGGACAATAACAACAACAAATAATTTGGTGTGTACACAATGAAACACACAAGAAAAAAATATATATCAATACTAAAAACACCGGAGCACAGCATTTGTATGGTTAGGGAGAAGAATTCAGAGTAAACAAAAAAGATGACACTCTAGTAAATATACTGTGCAGATATTTTATTCTAAAAGTCTGGTCTAACAGATTAAGTAAGACTGACCAATTAACTGCAGCCCCTGAAAATGTCGGAATTTTATACCACATTTATCTTCTTATAACTTATTTATACCATTATGAGGCTCACTCATGTTGGTTTGACTAAATTGCTTGACTTGTACTCCATCCCCAAAGGTCAGCGTTGGTGGCACCGAGGCATGCCTGGAAGTAGTTTAATGAAGGACGGATAGAACCCGGGCATATAAGGAGTTGTTCAGAGACCTGAATTTTATTTTAGAATGTTTCCTAGGTCTTTTGCTTGTATTTTTTCCCCTTCAAGTAAGATTATAAATATGCCGAAATCTAGGGAGACACTTATTTGGATTTTCTTCAAATTTATTGAGCAAAAAATAAACCTATAATGCCACCAAAGCAAGCAATCCACATGTCTATATACAGAACTTCTTACATGTCCAGTGTTGTTCCCAGTCCTGTAAGGAAAAGAAAATTAACGGCATGATGAAATCCTTGGCATTGGGTAGTAAGATGTAAAAAGAGCATGGGTTGTTGAAAGTTGGAAACATGTTTGAATCACAGTAAACTATATATACAAAACAAGTTAGGCAACTGTCTGAGTCTTGCTTTCCATATTTATGACGTGGAGACAACAATCAACTTTTTGGGTCACTATAATAATTAAATGAGAGATTATTGAGTGAATTATCTCTTTACTCCTACTACTAACATGTAATGAATCTCATTTTCCTTCCATTCAGAAAGACAAACTCTAGTTGAAAAGAAAAATATAGCAGTTAACAAATACATTACTTAACAATAGGAAAAGGTATATAATATGTAGGCTTCATAATTAGAAATACGAGTGTGAACTGCAGTAGTTAGGAGAATTTTAGTGGAACTTTGGAAGTGACCTTTAAAAAAGAGGCAGATAAGAGTACTTGAGAGAAGAGGGGGAATGCAGAGAGTGTATAGAGCCTCGAGTGTGCAGGTGGCCATCCTGGCCGGTGTTGATAGAACTAGACAGGTAAGAGTGTGTTTGGGCTGCATTGCACAGACAAACTATCAGTGGGAGACAAAACTATTTTACAATAACTTCCACTGGTGGAAAAAAAAATATTTGTTGTTTTTTTTTTGAAGGATGAACTGCCTAGCCCTTATGATGCCTGGATTTCCATTGCTAAAAACCTTCCTGACCTGATTGAGCATGGTGAACTACGTGAAGAAGTAGAGAAGGTTTGAATAACTATTACATGGGTCTTCTATTATAACTTCGTAACAATTTTAATTTGGCTTTGAGGCTATACTGTCACTCATTGATTGGAGTCAACCTTTCCATTTATTCTCAGTTACCAATGTTCAGTATTGAGGACCTCTCAGGACACAAGTTGCAGCGTCTGGCACACCTGGTCCTGGGGTATATCACCATGGCATATGTGTGGAACCAAGGTGGAGAAGATGTCCGTAAGGTCTGGAGGTTTTCTAATATTTCTTATGCTGCATGATAGATTGCCATCCAGTTTACATTTAACATAAAAACATTCTAAAACTATTATTTGTAACTGCATTTTGTGAAGCTTGAAAAATAGGAAAGAAATAATTTACTGAACTTTACAATGTCAGCTGTGATCGTTACTGAATCCTCAGTCTTTTACTAATATAACACAGTTGTTACATTCTGTATAAGTACATATATATCCTGGTTTTTTCACTAAATTATATTGTAAGCATTTTTTTTTTTTTTTTAGTAACCATATAATCATCTTTCATCCTAGTCATCATTTGAAATCACTTTATAATTTTCATTGTGTTTTGGAATTTTATTCAATCTGATATTGAAAAACACTTTATTTGTTTTTAGTGTTTTACTATTATAAAATAGTACTACAATCAATATATTTGAATATAAAAACTACTTATGACTTTGGGGAGATATAAACATTATACAGCTATTCTTAGTTAATGCTAAAATGCTATCTTACATCTGTCAAGATAGAAGAATATATATTAGTTTTCCTCTATTCTCATCAACAGTAACTTTAGATTTAAAGTAATATCTTGTATTTTATCTGGCAACACTAATCACCTGAAACGTTTATAGACTGTAAAATGTTACCTTTAAATCACAAAGAGATAAGATAGATTCCAGAAGCACCTTCTTCCATTTAGTGAGTTTTCCATTTGTTGACAAAGGTAATTTGTAGCTCCTTTGTTTTTTCTTTCCACATCCTGTTTAAAGACAGACTAGCAAACATAATCCACCTATGTAATGAGTCATTTCCTGATAAGTAGAGAAGAGGAAAAAGTTGCTCTGGAATAGTCATGGAACTGCCGTATCCAGCTTTGTGATGACGGAAAAAGTTTAAGACCTGCTGTAGTCTTATAATATAGCTGAGCACACAGTCTCACTGGACTTGCTAGAATCTGAGTCTGGCTAAATGCACAGGCATTGTCTATAAAGAGAACACCCATAATGAAGCATTTGTAACACAGGGCAGTGTATTCTAGGCACAGAAGTATGAGAGTCCAGAGGAGTTAACTAGTAGTTGATAGGATTGTGAAATACTTCAAGAAAAAAGTGAAATTTGAGTTAGTTCTTGGAAGATTGATAGAGCTTATCCAAAAAGGAGGGGAGCAGAAAAAAAAAGAAATGGGAGACTAGCAAAAACAAATGTGGAGACCAAAATGCACATGGCAGAATTAAAAGATAATCAATTTACCAGACTGGAGATCAGAATTATAAAATAAAACATAAGACTGTGTTTTTAAATTTACCCAGTTTTTGTATAGCCATACCACTTTGAAAAAATTGTAGAAGCTGGCAGTAAAATATATATATATATGTGTATATGTGTATATATATATATATATATATAGATTTTAAAATTTAAGTGAAGAAATCATAGGAAAGAGAAAATAAATGGATAAAAATAAGCTACATCAATATAAGGCACATTTTGCTTGAGAATGGGCAAGAAATTAGCAACTGAGTTTCTTAGCTGTTGCATGAGCGTCTTTAGTAGATTAAGGTGTGTTTGAACACTTCTTTTTCCTAAACCACTTGAAATTAATCATTTTCTCTAGTTCAGAGGGAGACACAGTTTATTTCCTTTTGGAACATATGGAAATCATTTGCCAAACAAAATGTTTTGATTCCCAGTGGCTCCAGGTCTGCAAAGGGAAGCACACATCCAAGGGGTACTTCAATAGTCAATAATTCTATTCTAACATTTTTGCTATTTGGTTTAAATCATCATCTCTGGGTGTGTTAAGCTAATCTGAAGTCACTTGGATTAGGGCCCCCATGATTTTTCACAGAACTGTGGAGTGGGCTACGTAGTCACACTATCTCTATCACTGAAGTCCCACCACCCACCACCCCAGATGGGTCACATATGCCTGTCCTTTGTGTGGATAGATATACATAATCCAATCATAGGATACCAATGATAAGCATGGCTGTAATTATTACATGGGATCATCTAAACTAAATATAGTTAGATGAAGTTAGGCAGATGAAAAATGAAATGTCAGCTTAATGAGTAATGGACCAGTAGGAGAATGTGGCTTGAGTATGTGGCAACTGTGGACATGCTGAGTGTACTTACTCATCAGGGTTGTCTGTGGAGGGATAGGAGCCTTTTACAGTGTAGCCCAAAACAGAACAGAACTCTATGAGGAACAAGCTCAGGAAAAGAAGAGTTGAGGAGAATCGAGGGCTGACCTGTAGTTTCATTCTCAAACTCAGTAAGTAAGCAGGCTTTGAGGAAGGATGAGTGAAAGAGATGAGATAGATCACGTGTCACTCCAATTTATATATTTTGCATGGAAATACAAAATGAGAGTAATTCCTTCTGCCAACAAGGTAAGCTCTCTAGGCCAAGCATTAATGTCACTCTATGGTGAGGTTTTCTAAAATATCATTCAGTAGAGAGGTTCTGTCAGTACTGTGCTCTAAAAGCAGCCATCGTTTTTATACTTGTAGTATGTATCATTTCCAAAAGCTTTAATTACAAATGACTTTGAGCTTCTTTGAGGCAATTAATTTTCTCTCCTTTTTGTGGGTGGATCAAGAGTACCTTGCATAGAGGAGTTATCAGACCAGTACTCTTGGGATGGATAAATGAATGAATGCAACGAACTCCCAGGGTCACTAGATAATCAAGGATATAGCCCGTGTTCTCTTTGCCCTCAACATCTGTTCTTTCCCTATGCTTGTGTTATGTACACATCAATACAAATCCAAAACCCAAACATGTAACAATTACTGGGACTAAGTTATGAAATGAGGAAGAGAAAATTACATTTGTTTGTTTTCAAATGCCTTTCTATATAGCAGCTAATGTTTTGGCACTCAGGAAGCAGAAAAAAAGGTAAGACACTTCAAAGTTTAAAGTTTATACTAAATGCTGTGCTTTACTTAGGTCCTGCCCAGCAATATTGCTGTTCCTTACTGTAAACTCTCTGAGAAGTTGGGGCTGCCTCCCATTTTGGTTTATGCAGATTGTGTCCTGGCAAACTGGAAGAAAAAGGACCCCAGTGGGTATGTAAGCAGTGATTATAACAAAAATGAAAGGAGTGCATGCTGTTTAAATCAAAAGGGAGTTAGTCATTCATTTAATTTTTGGCAACACAATTTTCTTCTTTGTTTTGGGGGTAAGGTTTCTTTGATGTATCTATAACCACAAATGTATTGTACACATATGAGAGAGAAGTGCATAATTAGCATACAATGACATGCGCAAATCCTAAGTGTTCAATTTGATGAGTCTGACAGAGAATATTTCTATCACCTCTGGAAGTTTCTTTGCGGCTTTCCTTTCTATTGCTTTCTCTAACCCCAGGTTTTTCTCATTTGCCATCAAAACTTAGTTTTTTTCTGTTATTGCATTTCATAGTGATGAGATCATAGAATAGGTACTGTTTTGTGTTGAGATTCTCTTGATTAACATGCTTTTGAGGTTTTACAAATTTTTAACTACCCAGTTGACTTCAGGGGTTAACATCTTCATCAGTAGAGATGGCAATATCTGGGGTTTTGGAGCAGCATGCTCAGAATTTAGACCATTTGGGACCATTTAGTTATGGGATCTGCTACAATAAAGGGGTAAGAGAATCATGGTGCCTCATGGGTCTGGATGTGTATCTGCAGAAGAATATTCTAGACGTGGAAATGGCCCAAAATGAAAGGATTTAATCTAGGAAAGTTTTTTCTTAGATACAACATGTTTGACCATGCATGTGTATTCCTTGCATATTTAATTTTTATTTCCTTTATAACGTCCTAAGTTAAGTGCTTGCCATGACTACTTGAAAAATATAAAAAAATATATATTTTGATCTGACTACATCTTATCTTTAACAGTAGTATTAAGTCCAATAACAATAGTTTATAAGAGGCATTAAATTTAATAATAGTAATATTAAATCTAATAACAATAACTTGAAACCATTTGATTCTTTCAATTGATTTTCTTTCTCTCTTCCAAATGGTCCACTGCTTCATGGCTGCTTTCATAAGACCCATGACCTATGAGTAAGTATTTGATTCTTATTTTAACCTAAGGATTATTTGTTATTCAAAGTAAATATAAGCTTCTCAATATCCATCAAATGCATTTTTTAAAAGGCCAATTGAGTTCAGGCAAAAAATGTAATTCAAATAATTGTTAAAAGAGCAAACAAATCCCCACCCTTAATTATGTCTGTGACTCTGGTATAACTGTCTGTTTGATATTATAGCTTTGTATGTATATATATGTATATATGTAATATTTGCCTATATATAAATGTAATTAATAGATATGAAAACAGAAAGCACATACCTCTCTGTATCTACGACTTAATGACCTCAGTGGCCAGAAATACAAACCTGTTCTTTTTGACTCAATCCTTGCTATTTTGGTCTATGTACTAAACAGAGGTTAAGAGGTAGGGAAATAAAGTAAATGTCATAGGTATCAGCCTCCCCTGATGAAGCTGGACTAATGGGGAAGAAAGGAAGCATATGGAAATTCTGTAAATTGCTATATGATGACAGAAGGGGTGGAAAGACAAAGTACTGGGAGTTCCCAGTGCTGGAATTTCCAATGAAAGCGATGAAGGAGGAATCCCTTGTAACAAGTTATTTAAGCAGAGCTCTCAAGAATAAGCAGAAATTAGCTAGAGGGAAAAAAGAAAATGAGTGTTCAGAGCAGAGGATAAAGCAAGTGACAAAAATATTGGTGCCTTATCAGAACTAAAGGAAGGCTAGTGTTGCTGATCAATGAATCACAAAAGTAACAGTCTGGGAAAGGAATGAAGAAGTAAACTTTTAAAAAAGAAGACTATGCAGGAATTTTGGCTATGATAAGGGCTTTCAACAGTATCTTAAACTAAATAGGAAGCTATGGGATGTTTTTAAGTGAGAGGATGTCATCAGTCTCATTTCACAGATGGAAACACTGAGGCAGAAATGGAAAGAATATCATGCTCAAATTAACACAGCAAACAAACTACAGAAATGGTCTGGCTTCAGGGACCGTGAAATTAACCACCATGAAACTCACAGATATATAGATACTGAGACCTGTCCACAACAGTGCAAAACCTCAATAAGAAAGAAAATAGAGTCTAATCAATTATTTGAATTTGCCAATGAACAATCATATTTTTAATTTGCTATTCAATTGCTTTCTGTAGGAGATAAACCACTGAGAAACTGAATTAGTTACACATATAAAAATATGGATATGAATACAGCGACTTAAGCTAAAAGACTACTTCGTAAAATTAGACCTCACATATCTCTGTAAACGCTGTGTGTATATGTACAAATATATGTATGTGTGTATGTACCGATATGTGAAAAATTAATGCAGTAAGAGAAATGGTCTTGGAATTTCTAGTTCTTAGTTCTAGAATGGCATTTCAAGTCTCAGCTTAATCTTATTATTTTTTTAAAGATTTTATTTATTTATTTTTAGAGAAAGGGAATGGGAAGAAGTAAGAGAGGGACAGAAATATTGACGTGCAAGAGAAACATCTATTGGTTGCCTGTTGCATGCCCCCAGCTGGGGGCCTGGCCTGCAACCCTGGCATGTGCCCTGACTGGCCAGTGACTTTTCAGGTTGCCGGACAATGACCAACCCATTAAACCACACCAGTCAGAGCCCAGCTTAATTTTCTATTAATGATATAATCTTAGACAATGGGTTTAAAATTAATATTTCCATATAATGGAGACTGTAAAAGCTGTAATACTTATCTCACGAGATTATTTTGAAAATAAAATAAGACTTAAAATGCTTACAAATGCATAAAAACTATAAAGTAGTCAACAACTATACCAATATTCTTATTGTATTCTTGACTTTCTTGATTGATTTTTCCCAGGAACATGGACATCCTGTTTTCGTTTCCTGGTGGGGACTGCAGTAAAGGATTCTTCCTAGTTTCTCTCTTGGTGGAATTAGAAGCTGCTTCTGCAATAAAAGTATGTCCATCTGCCCTACAAAATATGTATCTTAATTCGTATAAGCAGAGCAATCACTTAGTAACTGAATTATGTAATGCATAAAGTAACTTTATCCTGACTAAATAAATATAGCATTTGGTCATTTAATTGAAGAAGGTAAAGGATCATCTGGAAGAAATAAATACTTAATTTATTTTTATATCTTTCTTAAAATATAAAATGTAGGAGCCATTTATTTGGAATCACATTTGAAACCTCAATAAGAGGAATATTTTAATGCAATTTGGCTTTGGAACATAGTAACATAAATCTAATGGCATTGACTATTAAGAGTAGAAATAGAAATATATAAAACTCTTTAAACTTATCTCTAAATGATAAATAAAAGACAAATCCAAGCTTAAGAGTGTATAAGAAAACTAGTTAAATAATTGGAGAAACTCAGCTCAGAAAAAAAAAAAGAGAAAATAGCAGATTTAATTTAAGGATTAAGATTTAGGAGGATTTTATTCTATGCCACTGTTTAAGAAATCTTAAGTGTTTTTCTTTTTAATTTTTTTTATAGGAAATTCCCACTATACTCAAAGCAGTACGACATCAGGACAAAGATACTTTGGAGAAGACACTGCTTAACATATCTGATTGTCTGGACAAAGCCCATGAAGTGTTTAAACAAATTCATAGCAAGTATTCCATACCATATGATATTCAAGGCCTCAAACGTTTTTTTATTTTCTAAGATATAGAGTTGTTGACAAAATGGAATCAAAAACACTCTCACTTAGTGATTCTATTTTCACTCTATTTTATCTCACTATACCAGTACTTTCCAAGTGGTAGCTTTTATTATGTTCATTTTATAGAGAAGAGAATCTAAATTCAGAGAAGTAAGATAAATGACCTAAGACTACATAGGTAGTAAATAGTGAAGGCAGAATTCCAAGCTGAATATATTTAACTTGCAGAAAACCTCCTTTCCTCTCACTAAGAACCTTGGAGAAACTTGCCAAAGATGCAGGCTGTTTTAAGTTCTGAAAGATTTAGCTTCTGCTTGATAGGAGCTCTATACAAACTCTGCTATTTCACAAGTTAACAAAGAAACAACAAAGAAAACCATTAAACTCAAAAGTATTGCAAAATTAACAGCTACTAAACAATAATAACCAAAAAAGTACATAAGGAAGGTTTGCAAAAGGAAATTTGCCCTTCTGGATGGCCTTAACAAATATGTGACTATATCACTGGTATTTGAGTTACTGCTGAGTGGTGCTTGGTGAGAAGACTGACCTTCAATTCAAAGACATTAGCAAGCTTTGGGGGTGCAGGGGATCCTAGGGATGTGGTCCATAAGACTGCTGGAATTCTTGTTTGATTGTTTGTTTGTTTGTTTTGAGATTTGTTTTTTCCTTTATGGAAGTAAATGATCTGCTATGTCAGAAAGTACATGAAGTACCATTAAAGAAATGTTGACAGTTTAATTGATCTGAGGATGAGCGGTCGGTGGGTTCAGGCTCTCGGACACAGGCTACGTGTTCGCCCCATGCTAGCACCTGTTCAGGAGACAGGAGATGAGCAGGGCTCCCCTGGGAGAGGACAAGTGAATATGAGCTTGTCCTCAGGGGCTTTCTCTGTGCAGGCTGACTGATTGTATTTCCTGCAGCCTCTGCTGAAATTCGCTGTCAGTTGTGTGCAATAGCTTGATTTCCCTTCATACCCTAACTAAACACGTCCAATCTTTTCACAGAACATGTGGACCCAGACCAGTTTTTCAATGTTCTTCGCATATACTTGTCTGGGTATGTAACCTTATGTTTGAATTTTTCTCCTACAAAACTAACATAAAGAATCTACCAAGTTCCCACTAATGGTCCCTACTAGCCATTGTGTTTAGAAAATACTTTTCTTTAAATATGCTAAAATACGTGTTGTAGAAAAAGAATAGGCTATCATCCCTATTATTACTTGATCACCCCCCAGTGGCATATGGACAGAAAAGCTAGTTATTTTAAAGAGAGAAGGATGATCTTTGCTAACGCAAAGGCAGGCTCTAATCATTGAGTACTTAGACCAAGTTTGCTCAAAACCCTGTTACGTGTTATTTTTACGCATGCACGTCCGTGGAAAGGGGAATGTGGGAGGAGAATAGTGGTATCTATCTCATGTCATCTGCCATTCCTCCTTTATTGCAAGATTTTATATCTGAAAATTTGGCAATTAGTCCAAATAATGATTTTCTTTCCTTCCTGGTGCAGCTGGAAAGGCAACTCCAAGCTGCCAGAGGGTCTGTTGTATGAAGGAGTCTCGGACATCCCAAAAAAGTTTGCTGGGGGTAGTGCAGGCCAAAGCAGCATCTTTCAGTGCTTCGATGTTCTGCTGGGCATTGAGCAGAATGCTGGTGAAGGTAAGTAGACAACGACAATAATCATCTCTTCTGTTAATGCAATAGTTTTTTAAAATCTAAAAAGTACCTTCTTCTCCACGTCTTATCTGAGCTTATCTGATGTTTTCAGGAGAATTAGTACAGAAAAGATTGTATTGCCATCATCCCGTTTCTCAAATGAAGAAGCAGGTAGTGAAAGAGGATAAGTGACTGGTTCCCTGTCAACCAGCTAGAAAGCACTGAAGGCAAAGCCCAAACCCAGGTTCATCGTCCTCTCAATCTTGGCATTTAAACATGCACTGATAAGGCCTGATTGATGGTGGTGAAACCTGTATCACATGTTCCAAAAATATACGATCAGAGCCAGAAAGAAAAGGTCACCTGCAAATGAGATAGGACTGTGAGTGGAAGCTGGGGGGGTGGAAACTTCAAGGACAAGAGGATTGACACAGCTCTTGTTCTGCCTTCGCGCTGCCATGGCAACCCAGGGGCCATGCCTGGACTAAAGTGTGAAGATGAGCCACATTCATTATGCTCCTTCTAAGGGCTTGAAGGAAGAACTTCGTTCTACTTTTCTCTTTTTCCTTAAACTTCTCTTTGATAGAGCTGAGGAAAAATATGCTTTCTTCCTACTCCATTCGCTTTTTGAAAAATGATCCTTTCAACTCTCTTGGACCTGGTGCCACAATCTGTCAAGTACAAATGATATGTACCCTGTCTCTGTCACCGACTTCTCTGAATGATCAAATATAGTAGGAAAGTGAGAAAGGAAACAAACAAAAATCTTCATTATGAAAGACTGAGTTTAGCTCATCTGATTTTCAAAATTGAGTAATTATTTTACAATAATTGCCATTACTAGTAAGAAGAGTAACAGCTTTCTAATAGGATGGTTCCAAACTCGTTGTCCTGTGCTATACTGTTGGCCTGTGATCGTCCAGCCACTCCGCCCTCTCTCTGCCCTTCCACTCTGGATTACGGAAACTTCTGTCTCTCTACTAACTCCTCTCCCTCTTGTTCTTCAGCATCCGCTGCGGCATTCCTCCAGGAAATGCGCACGTACATGCCACCAGCTCACCAGAAATTTCTTCAGTCCTTAGAGTCGGGCCCCTCAGTGCGCAAGTTTGTCCTTTCAGAAAATGATGATAGCCTTACAAAAGCTTATAATGAGTGTGTGAAAGCTATGTGCTCTCTGAGAGACTACCATTTGCAAATAGTAACTAAGTACATTCTGATTCCTGCAAGCAAGCAGTCCAAAACCCCCCAAACTTCTAAAGACCCATCAGAAATGGAAAGTAAAGGAACTGGAGGTACTGATGTCATTAAATTTCTAAAGAATGTAAGAAGTACAACTATGCAGGCCCTTGTGAAGAAATCTTAATGTAACCCAAGCAAAGGTACATTTTGTCAGGACCACATAGAGAAAGTATATAGAGAAAGTCAAGGAACATAGAGCAAGGACTCATGGACAAAACCAAAGGGGAAGAGTTGAGGGAGGGAGGGAGAGAGGGCGGGAGGGGGCAAGGGAAAGTGGTGGGGGGGTAGGGATGTATATAGAGAAAGTCAAGGAACATAGAGCAAGGACTCATGGACAAAACCAAAGGGGAAGAGTTGAGGGAGGGAGGGAGAGAGGGCGGGAGGGGGCAAGGGAAAGTGGTGGGGGGGTAGGGATGTATATAGAGAAAGTCAAGGAACATAGAGCAAGGACTCATGGACAAAACCAAAGGGGAAGAGTTGAGGGAGGGAGGGAGAGAGGGCGGGAGGGGGCAAGGGAAAGTGGTGGGGGGTAGGCAGAGACAAATTTATTTGAAAAAATAAATAAATAAATTTTAAAAAAATTTAAAAAAAGATTTAAAGGAAAAAATAAAAAAAAGAAAGTTAGGAAGTAACAACTTCCTAACAGTGCATGACCAAAGATTTTAAAATGTTATTTCTGATGTCTGTGAATTCCTTGCCTGAAAAAATGTAAAAAAGCAATTATATTAAAAGTGTGGTTATCTGCATATTGTAATCAGAATGTAATAATGAAAATTGAATTATATAATCAGATACCTAAACGTTGCTTTATTCGTGACTGTAATCAAATGCTCTCCCAGCGGGAGCCACCCCACATTGCTACACTGCAAACAGGGCTGACAGGTCCTGTACTTTCCCTTTAGTGATGTCCCACTTTTCCTAATCACCTGCTGATTGGTCTAAATTCTCATTACAATATAAGCTTCATGATACCGGGGACACTACTGTTTCCCAGACCCATGCATGCCCAGTTGTTAATACATATGTAATAAATATGTTAGATGGATATGTAAAAGATTGAATGAGTTTATGAATAAATCAATATGTGCTACCATGAAGTCACATTGGAAATAGAATTTTTCCTGGGGGGTCAGAGTTATCAGGCATTCCCACTCTGGCATGAGCTGTCTATTAATGGAATTGAAGGGAGTTAGGGCCGGAGAGGGACTCAAACACCACATGAGCCACACTCATTGCAAAGATGACAGAGCTGAGGCTCAGCAGAGTGAGGCTGCTTACTCGGGGTCACACAATCAGTTTAAAATGGGAGGAGACCTTAACTTTGTTGACAACTTCCATCTTTTTCACTTGACTTGGAGTAAAGTGGGTTAGAAAGGAAGGGAACTTGGGGAGAAAATGAGATGACCTAATAGGATCTCATGAGATAGTAAATAGTTAGCCAGAAATTGGGTATTCTGTTAAAGGTGAGAAGAGAAAAAAAGGCGCGATGGTTGTGTGGGTACAGGATGGGGGAGCACTTTCGATTTATAAAAAGCCCAGCTCTGAGGGGATAGGTTGAATATGCCCAAGTACATTTGAAGAAGGAAATGTAGTCACATATTTCTAAAGTCAAACATCCAAAAACATTTTAACATCATTTCGCAAACACACCCTGACCCAAGGAAATCAAGTGGAACCTTTCTGCTCACAGAAAAATTTCACATGTTAATGGTGTATGGTACACATTCCCTTCTTTATTCTCCAGCCAATATTTCTTCAATAAGCGTATATAAGTCTATAATAAAAAATGTGCATGCATGAATACGTGCATACCCAATACATATGTGTATTCATGTGAGTGTAATTTTTAAGTGGTCACTGGGAAAACCCCATGTCTTAGACTTTGATGCTGTCCAAAAGCACTAGCCTGAAAGTCAGGAGACCAAGAACTGGGGTTATTTTGGACATCTCATAGGTTTGTGACCTTGGGCCAACACTTTGTATTTCTGTCAAATGAGTGAAAATACTTGCCCTGTCTCATTCACATGGTAGCTGTGAGGACAGAAGAAAATAGAGTGCCAAAGTACTGGAAAATATAAAATAGCACTAGCATATATGTAAGTAAATTGGAAGGATCTTTTATTGGCTCCAAGTCAAGAGTTTTTCTGTCCTTTCTGCTACACTGGTCACTCTGGCTTCACAGCTATACATCACAGGGCTACATATCAGGAGTTCCTCCTTCAGAGTTGGATTTACCTAGTTAGCATTGAATCACCTTGACACGCAGCGCTTCTTTGGTCTCCTCTGCAAGGCCCTGCATTGCATCTTCTCCTTCAGAACAATACATCCCTCTGACATGGGGCAGGGAGGTGGGTAGAGGGAGGGGAAAGCCAGAGGCATTGTCACTGACACTGCACTGCTGTTATGTAGGTGACGGACAGACTGAAATCTATAGCTTCACATTCTCTGCAGGGAGTGTACACATTTGTTCCTCAGAGTTGAGCCTCTTCTGTCTGTCCAAGTAATAGAGGCCAAGATTCCAGAGACACTCATAGGTCCAGGGAATAAACTGAGGGTGTCCAGATGGTTGGGGGGCTGGGTGGAAAAGGTGAAGGGATTAAGAAGTACAAATTGTCAGTTACAAAATAGTCACAGGGATGTAAGGTACAGCATAGGGAATATAGTCACTAATATTGTAATAATAATGTATGATGTCAGGTGGGTACTAGACTTATCGGAACATTTTGTAAGTTATATAAACGTCAAACCGCTATGCTGTACACCTGAAACTAATACGTTGAATGTTAATTGTAGTTGAAAATTTTAAAAAAACAAAATCACTGTGAATTAAAAAAAGAGATTCCTGATTTTTCTTGTCTCTGGAATCAGAGAGGTAGAACAAAATCCTAGATAAGCTTCTAAGGAAGTTCTGCTATTTCTTCTACCCTTGCCATGCGGTCTCAGCTCATCAAAGCCAGTGGTCTGCTGGGAAGGGTTGCCAGAGGGTAAAGATAATATCCTCCTGAAAGAAAAGGTTTTAGCTAGATGTAATGACTTCCTAGTAACACGGATCTTATTTAATAGAGTTAATGATAATTCCTTTCCTGTCTTTGTCCTAGTAAAATCAGGAGTTTGTAATGGTATATTCTTCCACATGTTGTTTTCCTTAAATGAGGAGAATTTGGCTTAAAATATGTATCATTTGCATATGACGAATTCAGAAAATTAAGTATCCTTCATCTCCTTTTTTCTATAATTAACTTTATACAATAAATAATTGAAGTTCCTTATGCATAAGTTCTGTCTTTTTTCTCACTCTAATATATTAAATGTAATATTCAATTCATACCACTCTAAACTTATTTTACCCTTATCTAAGAGCTAGTGTCAAGAATTATTGTTGGTCACCCATGGGTTAAAGACAGAAATTTGCTCATTTTCACACAATTGTTTTAGGTGACAATAAACAATTGAAAAGTTAGTTCCAAAATACTTAAAATTTGGCATATAAGCATGCACCTGAGTTTCTCTAAGTTGCTTGCCTCTGGGACACAATGGCAGGACATTCACTCCAACGCTCCTTGCAATACAGCCAACTCCTATTTACAGCTCTCTCTTCTGATTACTGCTCCAGCTGGTCTTTGTACATTAACTCATTTAATCTTGAAAGCAACTCCATGAAATAAGTAACATTATCCTCACCATTTTACAGATAAGGAAACTGAGATACCAAGGAGCCAAGGAATATATTTAAAAAATGCAAGTAAAAGGCAAAGCTAGGTATAAACTCAGGTACTCTGGATCAAGATTGAGCTCTTACCCACCATAGGAGGAAATTTACCCAGCTTCTGAGGGAATAGTTCTTTTGCCTTTGGTATTTAGCTAGAAGAGGAGAGCACAAGGGAACTAAACATTGAACTTAATAAACTGGGGAGCATCAGCCTGCTTGCTTAGCCAGGAAGCTACAGCTTCACACCCCAGGGGATCACAGCATTGCTCCACCCAGAAGAGTAACATTCCTCCCTTCCCCCCCACTCTAGTACCTAATTGTTGGGGGCCCTGGGGGAGGTGCTGAACCATAGAGGCCTGTCAGTCTAACTAGGAGGTGTTAACCCATCCAAGGCCCACAAAAATGTGAGAAGTTGATTGGTTCTTTTGAAAAGGCACCTGGTCTGTCAAAAGCCCAAGCTAATATAACCCCAGGAGGACAAAGAAGCTCTCTCCCTGTCTCTCTCTCCCCCACCTGTTAACGTGTCCACCCAGCGTACTCGCACATTCTCTCTCCAAAGTCATGTCACCTTTGCAGCCACATGGCCGGCAGCCACGCAGACTCTGCCACTGGAGCAGTTAGGAAGAAGCTAAGCTACCTGGATGGACACTGAGACTGCTTAGCAGCCCCCTGCAGGCTCCAACAGACAAAGCTTTATTATGAAGCAGAAACTCTGGACACTGGCTTTCGGGTTGGCCCTACTGAGAACAAGATTGAAACTTCCCCCTGGCGGGACAGAGGGTGATGGGACATTGGAAACCCAAGTGGCAGCTTCTATTTCCACAGCATTAGTCCATGCCACACCGCAATCTCTCACGCGTGGGTCCTTGGAATGCTTTCCTTGGGATCCGGTGGAAGAGCGGAACTCTCACTGACAACACTTATACAGAAGAGGAAGTTAAAGTCATTAACACCATAGAAGCTCCACTCACTTTCGCATCTGGGACCTCTTGGAGACACCTGGGAGTTAAAATTAATAAAACACATTCACGAATCAGTTTATAGTCTGACAAAACATTATATGATATTTCCATTGGTTATATCGTATAAGGATAGGATATTACCTTTCTGATCATTAGACTAATAATACAGGCACAGAGTAGGAGATTTAGTCTAATTAGAAGGGTTGAGGAAAGTTTCTTACGGGAGAATTTCATGGTGACCTCCAGAGTTTAATTAATTGTTACAATTTAACAGAAAAAAAATCCCACCTGAATTTCCAGTATTAAATAACCAAGCAAAAATATAACTTTGCTGGTCAATCCAGCCTTATACAATTCAGGAATTAAATATAAACAATTTGAATTCTGCAAGTGAACATCGGAATTATTCAATATATGGAATATCATCATATAGCAACTTTTCAATCTATAAAT